GGGTTTTTCACATGAAATTCATGGAATTTTCATAAAACTACAGTTCATAGTGGAGGGGACCTCTTATTTAACATTTAGGCCAGCAGCCAACATGGTAGACTTTTTTTAATAACCAAATAATGTTACCAGTCATATACAGTACCTTTCAAGAGTTGGGAATCCCTAGAAACTTGATCCTAGATCATTGACTCTTGATCCTTGATTCTGGAAAACTTTGAGGATCAAGGCTTTATTCAAGTTTGATAAGTAGGAGACCATTTGAGAAATTATTGAGTGGAAATTTGAGATAAGAAGACTTTGACCCCTTTCTTTTCACACAGCAGATTTTGCCTTGTTCAATGGGGTATAAATTAAAAGTTAACAAGTTAATAACTAAAGATAACATAAGTTACTGTAGCTGCTGTGTTACAATGCATTAGCGGAGTTGCAACATGATATCAATCTCTTGACTAATCTTGTACTGTACAGTTGTTTCACTCACTATTCATGATTTGTCCTTTTTTCCCACTTAGGTCAGCATTATAGTTGGAAGGAAAACTTTGTATTTATACAACTTGAATGATCCTGATAACCCCATTGAATTGGCTTTTCAGGTAACCCTTATTTTACCAATAAAATTAAAATATTACATTGCATGAATGAGTGTGTTTTGTTTTTTAATAGATTAACCAAGTGTAAGTTATTGAATAAAATTAATATCACACTTGATTTATGAAAGAAAAGTTAATCGCATGGATTGCCCAAATTATAACAGTGTAAATTGTATTTACAAATTACAGGCTTGTATTGTAAATATTAGCTCATGCAGAAAGCAACAAATGTTATAAATGAGAACTTTTTATTGAGCTGCATGTATATTTACTGAACATGTATAACAGGTTACAGTGGAAGGTTTAGATGCACATGCATCTGCAGTATGTTGAATTAAGATGAGCTTCTGTACAAACAATTGTAATACCTTTTCACCTTTTTCAATAGCAAAGATATGGAAACATAGTAGCCTACAAGTGGTAAGTGCAATTTTAAATTTGATAATTTTAAATTTGCATAGGCACTCTGTGGTATCAGTTATTCTATAGTGTGGGTTTCAACTGGTATTAAAGATTTTCTCCTGTGAGTACACAGTACAGTTTTTCAGTTTATTTTTTTAAGCTAGTACATAATAAGTATCTAATTTATATTTGACTTAATATATATTTAATGGTCTATGATGCAAATCTTACTTTTACATAAATCCAGAGCTTCAAGGTGTCTGTGTGATTTTCCTTTTTCTGCTTAAAAGGTTTCTCAGTCTTGCTAAAGAAAAGAAATCTATTGTATGTTTTAAAGCATAGATAGATGCGCCATCACTTTTTATAATTTGCAAGTGCTCCCCTTAACAATTCAGCGCTACAAGTTGTGACTGTTTTGGTTGCCATGGTGAGTGAAGAATATATCTGGCGATTAATATTTCGACACAAGTCGCCAATTGGCGGCTTAAAGACCGTTCCATTAAACTTCCACATAAGCATAAAGTATTAACCTAAAATGAACAGAGATCAAGTCAAATTGATTTCGTTGAGATAAACTTCATTTTGTATTTTCCAATATGGCGTGTAGCATTTAACCATAACTGTTAACTTTGCATTAAGAGTTATGGTGAATAAATGTCAAGGCAACCATAGTTTTTTATATGGCAACCGTTTTACAATTGAAAAATTGAACTTGGAGCCGGCATGTACATGTAATAGTATATACGGTAATTGTGGTTATCATCATCATTATCATCATCTTGGCCAACATCAATTTCATCTTCATTTTTATTTCTTCACAGGTTTGGTGATGGCTACATAATGTTGGGTTTCTCCAATGGCTATTTTGTTGTGATCTCTACTCATATGAAGGAGATAGGACAGGTACTGGAAAACTGTTGGATCAACTGTAACTATGGATATTAACTCACATCTGTAATTGGCAACATTAGTGTGACTAGTCTTCAGAAAAATAAACATTTTTTGTACTTGGTACTGTAGATGATTAAATTTTTTCGATGTTGACCTCAAGCCAAACAAATCTTTACAAGAGGACTTTCAACCAACATAAGGACCAGCTACCAGTTGGCTGTCAACTCAGTTGGTAGAGCATAGCACCGGTATCGCACAGGTCATGGGTTCAAATCCCATACAGGCCTGAGTCTTTTTTACAGGCCTTATTTCATTCCTGCTTAAATAAGCAGTGTTCATCACTGCAAAGATTGCTTTCATATTCAGAACTTTCACTACATGTCGAACTTGTAATTGTGTTACTTAATGCCATATTTAGCCTCTATTTGCCTGGAAACTACATTGTACAGCTCACCAAGATCAAGATTCTCCATCTTGTCTCAATAATGAAAGTTGTATTTGGAAGTCTGTTTTGTATTATTTTATGTTTTTGGATAGGATGCTAGTTGTCTATCTCATAGAATACCCCGAGCATTTCCTTTTCATTGGAGGGTTGCATTGAAGTTGCTTGCGTTGCTGTTGGTCTGCTGTTTTGGGGGCGGAGAGAACTGCAGACTGCCAGCAACGTAGGCTAGCTTCGAAGTTAGGAGAGGCCCCGTGAGAGTAACTTCTTTCCCAAAACTCAACGCACTGACCTTTCTGTAACGCTACCTTGGACATTTCCATCCAGAGTCCAAAACAATAAACATTGGTTCAGCGCATCTTCTATCCTAGTAGGGGTAAGAGTTTTAATGAGCAATTTTGGTGCCTTCTGCTGACAGGAATTGTATCAAACAAGGGATCATAAGGATGAGCTGACAGGCATTGCTATGTCTCTTGAACTTAACAAAGCAGCCTCATGCGGCGACAACTGGTATGACCAGCTTTAATTTATAAATGTGAAATTTTATGTTAATTATTAATTCAACAGACATAATTACCTTCAGTTCGAAATGTACAAAATATTCTCGTGTTCCTCCAAAGTGTGGGTTTTTTTAAGGGTAAATCATCAGAGGAGAGAGTTTATTGGTGTACTATGGTACAAAATATGTTATACTGTGGACAGCTTCAACTAGCAACGATCAGGAAAATTTTATGAAATACCTGAACTAGTTGATAATGTTGCAATAAAAATTATGACATTATTTTTATTTCACCAGTATTTAAATATAGTACGGTAACAATTTTAACATGATTTTCCTTTATTTCAGTGTAAAGATTCATGACTTGGCAGAGATGAAGGAGATCTATGCTATCATTACTATAGAAGATGCGGGAGGTATTGTTAAATGGTGTTTTTAGTTAGTGACCATTAAGGAGAAATAATATTTTTGTATTGGAATTTGTCAGTTCTCAACTCTTCTAAATTCAACAACAAATTTTCTCCTAAAAGTACATATACAACTTATGTGGGTGAGGACATGTAATGAGTGCATCTCAAACAGCAAATTTTTGGTTTCGTAATGAAATCAAACGATTTCAAGCCCAGGATAAGTTGAAATGTAAACCTTCATATTATTTTGATGAAAATTGAAATTCCGTCTATATAAGGTGCATATGAAAAATATGCTCCCATACACCCGTTTCATCAGTTTCCTGTGGACACAATTTTGGTCTTGTTTATTTCAAGTTTGACAATTTGTGACTGAAACAAACGTCATATAAATGAATTAGATATACAGTGTGTTGTTGATTACACGTTCAAACAGGAAGAGACAATTGGAGAGCTCGAGGTCCAGTTACATTTTGTAGGTGTAGATTTGGCTGAACGGGTGGATTTTTGAGGCGTATGGACATGTGAGAACAACTTGAAATGTGGCCACCACTGATAATTGCAGATGATAACTATATTTTTTTGTTCGCTCCCCCTCGTGTCCTTATTCCTGACCATTTTGTAAAAACCTCTTGCATTAGACCTGACCAAAATATGTACCACATATCAGTGCACATGTGGCATGTGTTTGTGACCATACGTTTTGCAGTAGCTACTCGTATAATCTCTTGACACGTATCTTTCGTCATGCAAGTAATGTTTGGAGAGCTTTAGGAGTATACATTTTTATACTGTCTATAAGGCCGGCAATCCGCCGCTTGTTGAGAATTTTTACAAACGATAAAAAGTATGTCTAATAATTAACACGAGAAAGGAAGGATCTCTTCTACATGGAGATTTTGGTGACGAATGAATAAAAATTGCCAATGATTCTTTATTAGCAATATAGTAGACATGGTTTGATCCATTTCCGATCTATTTAAAACACGTTTAACCACTACTCAGTTGGTTACTGTCTTACTACATCCTCTAGGTACTCCAAGCTGGACCACTTCTAAGTCCTGAGTTACATGTAGCTCTAAACACTATATTTAATCTTTGTGTGTTAGGACACCTGGACAAAATCTCCTGGACAGACGATGGACAACTGCTGGCTGTTAGCACTCAGTCAGGTATAATTACTAATAATCTCTAGATGTGTTACGATTCGTACAAAGTCTACATTTTAATTCGATTCAATCTTTATTATAACCCAGGTGCAATATATGTATATCTTACAAAGTTACCTGTCCTTGGTTGTGCTAGCGGAACACGATTGTCATATCTAACATCCCTCAAAGAGGTAATGGTAGTGTTTGATTTGATTATTTGGTTGAAGAATCCAGTCTACAAATGACTATATGCTTCGTCGGGTGATTGTTTTTACTTGTACTTTGAGATATTCTCATATAAAAAATCTTAAACGACTTAAGTACCGAGTAGTCTCTCTGTACAGCTTGCGCTCACATATCTTACGAATTCAGCTTCGCCTCAGTGGCAATCGTCAAACGTTGGGCATGCGCGAAGAAATCCATTCTGGCCACTCGCGCGCCAATTTCCCGCGCAAAATTGTGAGGGAAAACATAAATAAGCGCTGTCTCGCGAAAAAGCGAAGGAAAATTGGAACGTTCTCAGAAATCTGTACAAAGAAACAAAGGTAAGGAAGGAGGAGGAAAACACGAGCCTTTTCGAACTCAAAGTTTCTTCTCGTACGGATATCCTGTTGATTTACCATTCTGTTTTGAGCCTCAACAAAAAAGTTATACGCTTCTAAAACTCAGTGACACACAGACTTGTGTTGTTGTTTGTAACTCGTGTGAGGCAATTCGGTTCTAGCAGATTTTAAGCACGGCACCTAGTCGTTACCATGTTACCACATGCGCAGACGTTTGACCGCTGTGTTTTTCCTGCTAGAACACTACCATTATATGCAGTTTGATCTTTCTGTCAGTTTAAACCATTGAAATGGCTTGATATGTCTTTCCATAAGCCAAATTAATCAGGATTGCTTAAAGACTCGTATAGAATAACGTTTTATCGGGAAAAAGTTAATGGAACAGGTGTGTTCAACAGAAACAGATACGTTACGGTTTTACAATTATTCATCTGTTTTCCTGATGTTCTCAGGTGACGATTGTGGACAATGTGATGCAGGTAATTGATTTGAATCTCAGTGATCGAAATACAGACCCCTTAATTTGGCAAATTATAACGGTGTAGAAGACACAGTGGATCATGGCTAATACGTTGAACTGCAAGTCGTGAGGTCTGGGTTCGAGTCGTGGTCTAGGTCTCTGCTTTGGGTTTTCATACAAAGTTACTTACTCTCACTGTGCCCGTCTCCACCCAGGTTGGGAGTATGATTGTATGCGGCGAACTGTCACGGAAACTTGAGGAAATAAGGGAGGAATGGGACGAGCGCGGATAACACTGGGAAGAAATTGCATCTTGTCCAGGGAATGATAGCAATACTCCCAGTCGAGAACCTCATCCCAGTTTCACTTGCAATGAGGTTCGATAGTATGGGCTGTCTCGCTCCTAAGCTACTTTTAACCCCAGACAATTCACTTTCTGGCTCTCCGAGGTAGCGATTGTTGATTCTCAAGCTTTTTCTAGGAGAATGCATTTGACAAGATGAAAAAATAGTGATAACAGACGTGTATTTTGTTCTACAATGTTTTCCACAGGAGCGACCTCTGAGTGTGGATATCATCGTAGAGCCAAACTTTGTGGCGCTGGGGCCATATCATCTGGCCGTAGGAATGAATAATCGTGCTTGGTTTTATGCTTTAGCTGACAAAGGTAAGCTGTTACTGTAAAGCAAACCAGCTTCGCTGCTTACTTAGCCTCATAGAACTACATATTTTGAAATGAAATCGCCTACTTGTTGCAAGATTTCTCGTATTACAGTATTTTCGCATTTGAAAGGTTTTCAAATTCGCCGTACAGTGCACATTCTCCTAAAACTGAAAGGGAGCTAAACTGAATCGGCAGAAAATAAGTTGTAGTAATTTTTATTTAAGGGTAAGTCGCTCTGTTTTATTCAATGCTGAATAATTCAGTCTGAAAACAATGGTATAATGCTGCTGCAGTAAATGTATATCAAGAGAACCACTCAATGTGAAGAACTAGTTACAGCGAGAGGTAGAACATAAGCCTAGCTAACATTAGATTGCGTTTATGAGAAAACGTGGATTTAATTCTAAGGTGTAAGTTACAAAATCCACTGTCTTCTTAAATTTAACAGCTCTAATTTCATATTTTGGGAAAAGTTGATGCTTGCCTTGTTTGGATAGAACTTGTACCGAAAGTTGTTTTATCGTTTTGTCACGAGCTTGGGACAAAAAAAAAAAATAAGTCCTTACCCAGAATCGAACTTCAGACCTTCGGATTCTGCGCTCTGAAGCTCCACCACTCAACCAATGAAACTCTATGGTAAACAGTGCCCCTGCTGGGTTCATGTACTGCTTGGATCGCCTTGTGTTCGGTAGAAATATATGAAAAATATTTCGTTGTTCAACATTAATTACAAACTTGTGTATCAACAGGTCCTGAGCAATTGAAGGATCGAGAGTATCTCGGTACAGTCAATGCCATTCATCTGAACGCTGATTATGCTGCTGTTCTTTTTGAAGGGAAAGTTCAGCTTCATTTGGTAAGTAAGACAGGCTTACATAAAAGCTATCGTTAGAAAAAGCAAAATATAGTAATCGATTGTCACAAGTAATTCGAGATTTTTCTTTTATCAGCTTCTTAAGAAACTGTTGAGCTGCGTTGGGGAGAGGGGGTGGGGGCAAGTGCAACAGAATTGTTTTTACGACAGCTAAACTGCAGTAAGGAATTTTCAAAACCTTTGCTCTACACTCTTTGATTGGTCCAGGGTCTCGCGCCTCTCTTTCAACCAGTTAGATGCCACATTTAAGTTTTTGTTAATAGGACCCCTCCGCTGTAGGTTCTCTTTAGCTCCTTTCGAAATATACCTTGTCTGATTTACCGTTGTCATTGCTTTGACTTTGAATATCGCAATTCTCAGTTTAAGGGATTTCTTTTCAACAAGTAGTTCAGTTTTGCTTTTATGTTTGCCTCGACGAACTCGCTCATGTATTCGTATGACGAAGGCAAGCGTATCCCACAGTGCTGTTAGACTTTCAAGCCTTTTTCGGAAAGACAGATGGTGCCTTGCCTAATAAGCCATTTTACAGTTGTGCACTTAGTCGCCAAGCCTTTGATTTGGAGTGAGGCTGAAGGTGACCTTGTTGTGATAGAGACAAGTATCTAGTTAGCGTGATAACAAAGTAATTTACATTTGAAAAGCAGCAAGGTTTGTATCATAACAAGGTCACCCTTAGCCTCACTCCTATTCAAAGGCTTGGCAACCAAGAACAACTGTAAAATGGACTATTGGCATTAGCAGTTTATTGAAGAGTATGACGTGAAAAATAGTGTTAATTTTGAACGTCTTCAAGAAGTGGGATGCAGTTGATATAAAGAGACTGTCTATTTCTTGCACCGTAACAAGCCTTTTGTTTACTGTGAGCAAATAAAGAGTGGTTTCAGTACCTGTGAGAGTGATACTACTTATGGAACCATTAGGTTCCTCAGTTAAGCTCTTCACAGGAAATCCAATCGAAACGTTAATTATTACATATATATTATCGCAGATTGAAGGAGAAGCTTTGGATACAGCAGATGACCGAGAGACCAGACTGTTCCCGGATAAAGGCAACCAAGGACGGATCACATGCTGTGCTTTGACTTCTGACTTTCTAATCTATGGCACGGATGTAAGTGGAAGTTTTTTCGTCAAAATCTATTTGAATTTCAAGGATGAAAACGTGAACTGTATTTGTGGTTAAGTGTATGTCCAAGGTTTATTGTAACATGGCGCGTGCGCAAGTCCTACTTAATTCCTTAGGAGCTACCACTGCTTAAAATCCTAATGTACGCATGGCCGTGCATCCATACCACGACTTGTGAAAGTTCCCTTTAAGTTCAGCCGCGTGGTTTCAAAACTTTCATAATTTTTTTTCTGTTCTATCCCGATTGAGATAGCTCTTTTGGAACACATAATGAAGAAAAAATATGCGTAATGATACTCGTTTCGAAAAGCAGTTGGAGTTGACAATACTTCATTCCCAAACGCCATGCGAATTATGGCTGAAAACAATTTCTGTTTTCAACTGAGGCTTTGCGACGTTGGGAACTCTTTATTAGAACGGTAAATACTATTTTGAAGTGTTGATATGTCCCAAAAGTGTCATTCAATTTCAACTCAAAGCTACGCAATTTTCTGATTGTAAATTCTAGAAGGCAACAATTTAAGATAAATCTATCAAAATCTACCACACAGGTCTCATAAATGCAAGAAATTTGTAAATTTTCGCTTCGATATTCGAATCGTTGATATCATTTTTTGAGTCGATATTTCCTAAAAGTATTGTTGAATTAAATATTTTTATTTTAAAGCCGTACAATTTCAGAATTTTTAACACAGATCTACGAAATTTTATGGCCACGAATTCTAGTAAACAACCATCCAAGCGCACTGAATCTACTACGCAGAAATTCGTTCGTTTTTCGCTTCTGAGCAGAAAATTCACACTTCTTTGAATAAATATTTGGTTGCGAAATACTTCTTGGTCATTTTTGCCCTGTCATTTATTTATAGTTTTCGGGTAGAACACGGTTATCCGGGATAATTGCGTCTGCATGCTATGTTATAAAAAGAATTGGTTCATTCTTTATCTGTGCGTATATTGAGTTTTGGACGTACTTGGGAAGTTTAAAGAGTACTCAAGAAGCTAGAGTTGTTTCGGCTCCGCCTCGAAGAACTCTTACGCTTCTCTCGTGCTCTTCAAACTTTTCGTGTTACATCCATTACTCGTTATACGCACGCTAAGCATGGACGAAATCTATGTAGACCCACTGTTTAGTCTTCTTAATGGAAAGACCCACACAGTTTAATTCTTCCCGCCTTTTTATCTGTTTTATTTATCCATAATTCTAAAGCGGATTTTTTTATGGCATTTTAGAATGGAAGCCTGTTTTATTTCTTCATCGAAGATTGGCAGTTTGTCAATGAATTCAGACATGTAGTAGGTGAGTGGTACGTTTAGACTTAGAAACTGAAAATTTTCTGCCTCGTTAGCCTCCTATTAGGATTTATTTTGATCGTTGAACATTTCTCGATGCGACTTTCTGGTATCGTGTTTAAATGAAGTAGTTATATATTTATTTAGGTGTAGTTGTCTGAGGCAGGAAGACATATATTGGTAGTGAGACAGACAGAAAGACATAGTCAGTTAGACAGATATATAGTCAAACAGACAGACTAACAGGCCAACAGACAAACAGACGGAAAGACGGACAGATAGATAAGCAGCCAAATAGACAGACAGACAGACTAACTGATGGAAAAACAGCGAGAAGTCAGTTGGGTAGACAGATAGACAGACGATCACACAGACTGATTGACAGTCTGACTTACTTATAGGCAGATTGACCGAAATAGTCTGAAAGTTGAACTATCCGAATGGCACAGAACCTGATGAAATGAAATAGAAGCAGGTGGATCAATATTTATGCAATCAAGAACACTTCCTATCGGTTTAGTCTATTAATACGCTCGACAAGAAAAGTTTGTTAGTCACGAAACTGAGGTGAATGATTTTAAGTCTTGCCAAAAGGCAATAATATCACGAATAGTAAATAATTTGGTAAATAGATCCAAGTTTAAAAGTTACATTAGCCATGAAATCATCGATTTCCTTTGTAACACCATTATTTGGGTACTGTTCATGCAAAGGCATTAAAAGGATCTTCCCAGATGTTAGTGGGACTCATCTGGTGTTCATCGATGAAAAGAGTGATGGATTTGTTTACAATCCTGTGAGTATTCAGTCACATGTATCATTTATCCTAATTGCGAGTTTTCCTTTACATGACCAAAAACTGACCTACTTGGTTTTGGTGTCACCCTAAGCAGATAACATGACTACTCTGGAAGTTTTTCCGTGACCAGCAAAGTTGACGTGTATTTTTCTCCAAGTATATGACAAGTGTATGACTTGTTTCGGAAAGTTTGCTTGGGTGGAAGCGGTCTAGCTTCAATACACCGAAAATTTTAAATTATGATGTGTTGTACCCTATTCACACAAGCAAAACATTTTTTTTAAACTGGTTTTTACTGAATGAAATTATAAACAGAAAACTGAAAAGCTTCATTTTCCATAGGATTCAAGTACGTACTAACTTGCATTCCCAATGTGCTGCATTTAAGTCAAAAAATATTAGGCGAAGTAGTTTCTACGAAAAAAAAATGTGTTGAACAAAACGACTTTAAAACATGTTTAAGCTTTATTGTGAATTGAGTATTAGATAGAAACCCATTTCACACGAAATAGCGTCCATTTTCTCTAATTGTGATATATATATGTTACAGCGGTTAACATCTACCTCAGATCTCAGGTTCTGGCTTCCCGGAAAACTGGATCGACACAATTTTGCTTAGGCAACGAGATTGCTCATTGACCGTCAATAAACTCGGTACAAACAACTTAATAAAATTTAGGACGCAAAGGATGAGGTATGGGGGCGGGGGGGGAGAGGGGGGAAAGGGGGGAGAGAGGGGAGAGAAAAGATTAATTCAAGCACGCAGCTTGCCGCCACCCAAAGATCGTGTTCGGCTTTCTCCTTGCTTTCCGTACACGATTTTAATTTTCCTTTCTCTTCTTTAGAGGACGCCTACCGTAGTAGTGCAAGCTACTTTTAGTTGAATTCTCTGAACCTCCTAAATTGTTTGTTTTTCGTTATGGAAAGGGTAAAAAGAGTTGTTGTCATTGTCTTGCAGGTCAATGATGCCACTTTCGAGATTCCCAACTTTTCCCCGAATATAAGAGGCATTATTTGGGAAAATTGGCCTCTAGACAAGGTAAATTAATTCATAGCTATCTACAACAGGATGGGAAATGTGTTCAGTGCTCTCCTTTTGCAATGTCATGAGCTCATCAAAAACGAAAATTCCTTTCAAGAATTGTCATATGACTTGGTAGCCATGCAATAACAAGTTCGAGTTACAACTGGACTTAGCCAATGATCGAAACCGTGATTTAGGTTTTCGGTCACCGGAGTTGGAAACAACTTGTTACCGCAAAGCGGTTAACCGATTTCTGCCATTACTACGGGGCAAAAAACTTTTGATGGTTTATTTCTTCTTCACTTGTTCGAAGTCTTCCTGGAACCTGTAAGATGACTTACAAGTACGTCTGTGCGTCTGCTTATTACATCAATCATGTAAGAAAGATCTTCCGTGGTAACACGCGAAGGCTAGGAACAGCACAGCGGTCGAACGTCTGAGATGTGCGAGGAGATCAATTTTGGCCGCCTACGCGCCAATTTCCTGCATGTCTCTCAAAACAAAAACGTTACTTCTCACATGTCGAATTCAACTCGGAAGTAGATTTGTACTTTTCTTTTAGGACGTGTTCTGTGGTTACGATGAAGAGAAAGTGTATACCTATATCTTCTACAGAGATACTGTAATAGGTGAGACAGTAGAGAGTTCATTTAAACGTCTACACGAATAAGACAAGGGCAAGAATCAAATTTTGCTATCTGTCATTTCTTTGCTTTTTTTTCATAAAAAATTATATTAAGACAGCCTTTTTCCAATTATTCGCTTGGTTTGATGGCATTTACAATCTTTTCCATTTCTGAGGAGGGATTTAGTTGGTTTGGTTTTGCTGGTTTTAATGCTTCTGTTATTATTTTTTGTTAGGGCCCCAGTGTATAATGGCGGGAACCACCAAGCTGCCTTACGCTCAAAAACCCCTCATGTTATACGGTGGTGAAATGACGTGTCAGACACAGAGCGGCAAGGTATAGCAATTTAAACGTAACTCATGAATAGCAGTCAACTAAAGCGGTTATTTTTACTTCTAACATGCTTGGCTCCGCGTTGAGGGCGATGTGAAACCAATCATTTACCCTGCTTGGCCATCGCGAGCGGGTAAGGTGGGCCAACCTTGCCTGTTTGGAGAGGCCGGTGTTCTTAAGTCATAGAACAAAATTCTTCATGGTAATCTTTACTCAAACAAGATTATTCTATTTTGGCGTATGTTGCTTTCAAAATTGGGAATTCAAGCAGTAGGGATGTGTGACATGTGACACATTACCTAAGCAGTGGCCTAGCTCACTATAGAGTTTCTGTGGCTCAGTGGTAGAGTATCGCGGCGCGAAATCCGAAGCTCTGAGATTCGTTTCCTCATGGGGATTCATTTTTTCTTCGTCCCCCACAGTTTTCTCCTTTTCTGGCGGTAACTGGTAAAGTTTACCGCCTTTGTACCTCTTATTACTGCCTATAATCGTTTGGAATTCAACTGGTAAAACGATTGCTCGACTAGATTGAACCTTTACCTTTTGCTTAAGGTGAGGGAGAACAATGCAGCACGCTGGTGAAATGATATCTTTTTATACTTCACCACTGAGCTTACTATTTAAACTCCTATCTTTATTATTCTAAATTATCTTTTATCGCCTAAGCTCTTTGGGTCAAGATGGGTGGATATTGCTTTGTTCTTGGCGTCATTGATTTGGATGAACCTCGACTTCTGATCGCTCCATGAAAAAGAGATCTTTGCCTCTATCCAACCATACTGAGCTAACAAGTTCTGTTAATAGTAAGAATATTCAAACCAAATTTCTTCATTGTGGATTTCTTTCATCCATTGCTATGTGAGTCGACTTTGTGTGAATTAAGTCGTTCCTCGACCCCTATTCGATCATCTTCGTGGCCATTTTCTGGTGAGAATCACGTGTTGCTTCGTTTTCGAATTAGGCAGCAGAACTGTAGCATTATTCGTGGTGTTGATATTGACTTCATTGTTTCACAGACCTCCAAACTCAGTCTTACCACGCATTTATTTCACGAGAAGCCTCAGGATCTTCCACAATCTGATGTAAGTTTATTTTTAAACGCCGTGAATGGCCTTTACTTTGGTATCATGAATACTCCAGTCAGAATGCGGAAAGATATTGAGTATAATTTTGAAGTTTACGGCACTGATTGGTAAACAGCAAAATATGGTTGTGATTTCGCCAACATTTCCTAGTGTCTCCTTTAATTTTTAAGCGAGGGAAATAGAAAAAACAACCTATTCAAATAAATTAAAGTATTTTAAAATAAGTTCACAAAGAGATGATTGCAGATGACTAGGAAGTAAACATTTGCCATTTGCTGTAAACTTCATGCGGAATTCCTCGGACACTGAGGATCGAAATGTACTAACAACAGCGAATAAAAACGTACTGAGAACAGTCTACACAGCAGCCTAAAAAAAAAACGCAAGAGGTGGAACGCCATTACACTGGACAAAGATTCAAAAGGCTTGTGCGATAAAAGCCGTCGTTTTTGTTTTATCTCGTAAATGACACCCTTCAATCCAGTTCTCTCACTATCCCCAGTACCCCCAGTTTCTTTAAGCAACTCCAATACCTTCACAATTGTAAATCTCTTTTTTCATGGCTTAATTAGAGTTTTTTTTGTATCCCCTCTTTGTTCTAATTGATCGTCTTCTTGTTTGCACTTACAGTTACAAACCTCATTCAATCACTGTCTGACGTTGAAACGGTAAGTTGATTTCCAAGGCGTTTCTTGCATCCTGTAATTGTTTTTGATATGATGTGAGACTAAAATATTTTCAATTTGGTGTCGAAAGTAATCCAGCTTTGCATAGCTTTTGTTGTGAATTCATCTGTGATTGGTGCACCAACGCCAGATTGAAACCAATCACCAATTGCCGTGCCACATCACTCGATTTCCCATTGGCTCATTGCAGTATTTTCCTTTTTTCTCATTGGGTGTTGTGATTACTTTTATACTTTGGTGTAGTTTCAAAGATGCATGGACGCTGGCTCGCATCCTGGATTCCAAAGATTCTTGGATCGAACTGGGAAAAAAGGCGATCTATCATTTGGACATTGAGCTTGGTGAGTTGAACTAAGCTTATTTTCGCATATGTTATGGGTAAAATAGAGAAATTTTCAGTTGAGTATCGATAGTAATCCGGGAGTGCTTTGTTCTGGCGTTACTTCGCACAAAACTAGAACCAAACACGACTTGATCGCCCGCGTTTTCCCGCGCTCTACCCAGTTCGTTTGATTTTTTTAAAATTCTCATTGGGTCTTAAAGTTATTTTTCGCTCTTCAGCTTTACCACTGTGATTACTTTGGTTTTGGTTGCTACAATCAATCAATCATTCGTTTAATTATCCACATAGCGTGTAGTGAGCTGGAAAGCTCGTTCAAAATACATACGTGGTACGAAAATCGCTCTTATCACAGTTTGTTGTACACCTTTCATTTCAAAGAAGCTGATGGGATTTTCTCCTTACAGTTTTGATAATTTGAATCGTTAACCTTGCACGATAAAAGAAAGATATTATCTACTGATCAGACGAGTGTCTGATACATTGGTTATTTAACCCTTTACATCCTAACCTTTGTATGCATATTCTCCATACTGTTATGTTGTCTGTTTACATTTCCTACTGAGCTGGCAAGGAGAATTGTTTAACAATCAAGATTTTACATAGTTGGTGATCATTTCCTTTACTCTCGTTACCTCAATGTTTGATTCAGGGGCTATATTGTAAGGAGAAATTAGATGCTAGTCTCTCTTAGGGTTCAATGGGTTATTACTTTGGTGGATGACCGACGTTTTCCATCCTTAGGGACCTTTAGCAGTTAGGACGGCAACGTCAAGGAAGAAAATAAATAAATATTTTCAGTCGGAATTTTGCGAATGACTGGATGTGTTTACCATCTCTTAAGGCACCACAAATTAACCTCAACACAACGTATGAGAGCGGTGTTGTGTTCCAAATGGAAACTTAAATAATCTGCTTTCGGGGTTTCCTTTCGCGGACCACGTGAATTTTGATGATTTCATTTAGTTATTTTGCAGAGGGCGGCTAAGAAATGTACACAGTTTCAAAACGCACGTGCTGAGCTATTGTTCTGTTCATTAGATCTGTTGTTTTGCCACGTCCTCGTTGCTGTCGCCGTCGTGGTTTGCTAAAGGTCCCTATTTATATCGCTAACTTGTGGATAACGAAGACTGGTTTGTTACCACTTGTCAAAGAAAGTGCTTTCAAGCTTTAAGATTCCGGAGGCTCATATCACACCTCTTTTTTAAATTCAATTTTTCTCTCAAGGTCGATAGCTTATATTTGAGTGATTTATTTTCTCTAGTGAGCCCAACATTGCAGTTCTCCTTACAAATAGAAAATCCTGTCGCTAGAAAAACCAATAGGAAGAGAATATGTACACATTTGGTTCTGAATTGGAATCACGTACTTCATTCTGTCCGCTTATAAGGTGTTTTGATGTTTTGAAACATTTTTCCATATTTCACCTTTGCTAGCCAGGGGCGAACAACGTTTTTTTGCACATGTAGTTAAGATTTGTCTTACATGTAACATTTTTTGTCGGCAGCTATCAGAGTGTACCGAAAGATGGGAGATGTTGCCATGGTCCAGTCTCTTGAGAGTATCGAGGTAAAATGAACAGAACTCTAAATTTCGTAAATGAAGTCACTTGACTGTTTTTGGCTGTTAGAACATTAGGGATGGCTGAACTGACAAAGAGAGTAGCTGTGCATTTAGTTGATTATGATATAGAAAAGGTCAAAAGAGGTAGTTAAACCGCCGTAACGAATCTCGAAAAGCTGGCTTTTAAGTAACCTTTACACCGGAGCACTTTGCCCCAGTGGGATAAATGAAACCCGGGTTATAAAGCGTTTGTCTTCATTTTTGTGTCAAATGGACCAAAACAACAAACGATCAGATGTGTTTGTCCACATTTATTGTATGCCGTGTATCCTGTATGCGAATCGAATGTATTATTGATCCTTTTCTGTTCCTTCATCAGGGAACTGAAGACAAACATCTCCTGGCCGGATATGTTGCCATGTTTCTCGAAGAATACAGTACAGCACAGGTAGGTGGAAAAGTAGATAACAACAATTTCACATGGTTCCTTCGCGATAATGTTTTTGTTTTTGTTTTTGTTTTTTAATAACTCTTAATTTCTGTCGGGCATGTTTCTTAAAAAAAGTACAGGGTCTCGAAACTATAATTCAAGGAAAAGGTTTTGATTAAACTGTTAAGTTTGCTCCATGACCTCTTACGTTATGTTATCCTTTTCGTCCCAAGAAAGATTTCTCGCGCACAATTGTAGGCTTTACTATGCAGCCGGACCTTAATTAGGAATGTCGAAATAGGACAACAACGCAACAAACAGCAAGATAAAAACCTTCCACATGACAAAACACTTGGACAAACTAGCTCCCAAAATTATTATCGTCTGCCCACTGACTGTTTATAATCATTTTATTATCGTAGGATTTGTTTCTTGGCTCAACATATCCGTTGGCTGCGCTTGAGGTTTGTATCGTTATAACTTGAGAATCCTTTTATTAACATGAAGTGTTTTTCTTATTGGATGTGAATGTTTTTACTGGATCTGGTTCGACAATAAATCAGTCAAAAGGCGTAGTGTCCGAAGATTGTAAATGGTAACCTGCCAAATCAGTCTTCATAACTGAGTTTGGCATCATCATATTTAGTATCAGTGACAACCAAGGCTTTAAGGGAGTATGATACGCTTGAATAGATTTCTACCTTTTAGGCTTGCATATGCCACTCATCGCAAAGGAACACATAATCATAATCTTCATTTCACGAAGGTGACACGCGTGAATTTGAATTTGACGATGTCTCGGAGGTGGTGGATATTTTGCCGCAAGGCCGGGAAATTCCTCGAAAGCTGATGCTATTAGTGTATTTGTTGGAGCGAAAGTTAAGTTATTGTTTTCGTGCTTCAGATGAGGCGTGACTTACTTCACTGGGACCAAGCCCTTGAGCTGGCCAAGAGTCTGGCACCCAATCAGATTCCTTACATTTCAAGAGAATACGCCCAGCAGCTGGAGTTCACGTGAGATATATTATGATCTTTGGGAAACTTTTTCGCCAGTGCTCTCGCAGAGGATCCCAAACTTTCCCTTGAATACAGTGCCCCAACAAAGAGGTTCCATTAAACGTGACTCTCTGGAATGCAATAGCAGCTGTCATTTCTACAATGAAACCTGTCTTAGGGCGCCTTTGTTCGAGGCACATAAACTTTTGTCCCTGATGAAGCTTTGTCGTTGTCACCTTTAGTAAAGGAACACACACTGTTCAGGTAGCACTGTTTCTTACACCAAGGATACCCCTCCCCCTAGTAAATTTAGTACTTCATGATCAACTTAATTTTTTTAGCATGGTTTCAATCAGTATTCTTACCGTTTCTGTGTAATTTTTGTTTCCTACAGCGGAGACTACAGTAATGCTCTGCTTCACTATGAAAAAGGAGTAACCAAGTTGCCAGAGGTAAGTTTTATGACTTTGTTTATTACCTCGTTTGGTTGGACTGGCATCCCATGGGGGGAGGGGGGGGGGAAGGGGGAAAGTGATACTCCTAGTGGCTTCATGCTTGGATAAAAGGGATAAGCTCCGAGTAGCTCGAGAACCGACTTTAACCTTTTTCTTTAAGTGCTGATATGATCAAAAAAATCGCTTCAACTTCTCTCTTAAAATTTCGGAAGTATTTGCAATAAGTTCTTACCGTGCCAATTTTTTTTTCTTAACTTCGACTTATTTTCATTGCGAATTCTCGTTTCGACTGTCTGACATCACTGGCATGGTTTGGATCTCGTCCCGTAATAAAAAATTAAATAATACATACGGGATATATTGTTAGTTACTATTATGTTGTCAAAATCTGAACATGACCTCGAGAAAGAAAGGAAAATAAGAAATGCCTCTACTTTTTCGCTCTAGCTACGTTGTATGATGATAATGATTGCCAAATTGATATCTCTTTCCTCATATTATCTTCAGAAATCTTTTTATTTGTTGTTCCCATAGAAACGTGACCACGATGAACTGTGTATCGGTGGAATGGCAAGAATGGCAATCAGAGTAGGAGACATAAGAAGGTTTGTGAAAATTATCTCAAAACAATGTAGCTGGGTCCGCCAGCGAGCAACATGAAGCGAATTAGACGTTCACTCAATTAAATTTTGTTTGATTTTCAGTTACGAAACTCTTCATATGCCAGAAACTTACAAGAATAAAGAAATTTTTTTTGAACACTTTTTTCTACACGAGCTTAGGACATAGAAGGCTCATGAAGGCCTCAGATTTTCCCTCTTTCCTCGAACGTGTCAAAGCGCTAGCATTCTCTAAGTTGGAATTGATTTTGAGAGTTGATATTGATATTGATGTCGATGGAATTATAGTTTTAAGCTGAGTTTAAGTTGCTGAGCTAGAAAAAGAAGTTATGAGTCGTTATTTGATTATTTTTTTAAAAAGATATCTGTATTTTTAGAGGTGTGAATTATGCTGCTAAGAGTCCCAGCAGACCGCTAAAGAAGGAGTGTGCTACTATCTTGGAGTCAATGAAGGTAGGTGCACGTTGAAAAGCAAGCTTTTCTAGCTTGACAAGTCATATGTAAAACAAGAGGGCAATAACTCCCTTCCCGTTAATAAGCTAAATTGATCTTGTTTATGGAAGAGACGCCGTGGCGTGATTGTAAGGTAACCGGGCTCCTGATCGAGAGGTCTGAGTACGTCTGAGTCCTGTGTGGTTTTATTGGGCGACATTTTACTCTCCTTTTGCTTCATTCCGCCAGGCTCTGGTTTTTCGAGGGCTGGATAACGCTATCCACTGGATAAATCTCTATCCGGTGGATAGTGCAGTACGTTTTATAGACACATCCGCTGGATAGCGATTTTCCAACGGATAACGTCATCCGCCCCTAAAACAACTGGGCCCAGGAATATAAATGGGTACGGACAAAGTGCGAAAGTAACTTGAAGAATTGCTAGGAGTTTACTCCTAAAACTTAACCAGTAAGTTTTTGTTATTCTTTGAATAATTATTAAATTTTATTGATGGGTTTCATTCTCAGCAATATTCCGAGTCTGCTCTGTTGTTTGAGAAAGGACAATACTGGGAAAAGGCAGCTGCTGTGTACATCAAGACTAAGAATTGGTGAGTACACAGAGTAATACTGAGTGCAAACAGAAGATAGTTATTCCAAACTGGCTAGGCGAGCTTCGTTTGTCAATTTTACAATCTATACAGAAAGAAAACTGCCAGTTTACAATTTGGTATTTTTATAAGATTAGGATTTTATGTCTAATTCGTTGTAAGCAGTTGCATAATTCTCAAGTTCCAGCATTCAGTACCACATGGTTCTTGTTCACTGAAGAAGAGGAAAGTGCCGCTACTTCCCCTCCCCTCCTTCGCTTTATGTCCTCATTGAAACTCTGAGGAAGTTATCAATTGTAAGTGATTGTGGAGGTAGGGGTGGGGATGGGGATGGGGAAGTTGGGGAATACCAGGCTAGGAAGGTAAAGCGTTGGAAAGAGGCACTTCCTTTATAATGTTTCAGCGTGACAGCATATTGTAAGGCAGGTTTTTGAATATAAGCTTACATAGAGATTATTCCATGGGAAGTGCGTGCAAACGAATTGATTCACGAGTGGCGGTACATCAATAAAACGGACAAGTGAGCGCAGCGAACGAGAGTTTTTTATATGCAGTGCAACGAGCCTGAATTTTTTTTTTCAGGCCTTATTTTCACAACTACTCGAGTAGTGTTCATCACTGCGCTGTCATATTCACGTCTTTATCCGCATTTCGCATATATGATTTTCATATTTTCACAGTCATTTATTCATCACTTCAAGGGTTTTATTTATTTCGCAGTGTAAATCTCAGTATGTATGAAATAAATAACGTTCTTTCCTAGGGCAAAGGTCGGTGAATTGCTAGCTCACGTTACCTCTCCTAAGCTTCATGCGCAGTATGCTAAGGCCAAGGAGGCCGATGGGAAATACAAGGAGGCTGCAATAGCTTACGAGGCGGCTAAAGATTATGACAGCGTCATCAGGTAGGGACATTTTAGGACTTGTAACACAACAATGTGATACACTTGCGCCTTAAAAATAGAAGTGAAAAAATTAATTCTAAGCGATAACTCCTAAGGCCTTTTTGTTTGGTATTATATTTAATTTTGGCGACTTAATCCTTTCATCTTTGATTGTTTTAGGATCAATCTTGATCACCTGCAAAACCCCGAGGAAGCTGTAAGGATTGTGAAGGAGACCCAGTCTGTCGAAGGAGCTAAAATGGTGGCCAAGTATGATACCACTCAGTCTTAGTACTAGGTAATTTAGTGTTAACAACTGGGTTGAAAACGTAAATTAGCCACCGTAAAGAGTAAAAAGTTTTTTTACTCTTTACGGTGGCTAATTTACGTTTTCAACCCAGTTATTAACACTACTCTCCCACCGACGCAGCACCACAGTTTCTTTAGAAACTTACCCCTTACCCCTTTAGTCTTAGTACTAGTCTGTTCATAGCCGTTTTCATAAAACGTCGAAGAAGTGCAAAACGGCCGGTAATCGCTGGAGCTTGGAAAAGGATTAAATAAAATTTTCTTTTTACCTAACCCCACCCCTAGCGATCGGGTTCGTTAAGACTCCCGCGATTTCTATCTCGCTCACGCCATGGACGATGAGCTTGGAGAAATAGAAGGTCTGTGAAAAGCGTCACGAGTTAACCAGTGGCATCCTTTACAAGCCCACAGTTTTATTAGGCAGCAACAACGGCTCACTCAAAATACCTTACTAGGAAAAAAAAATCAGTAGATTTAGCAAAAAACGTTGAGATTTGAAATGAGGAATCGACAGCGCGAAAGCAGGCGTGTTTTTTCGTTATTGGTTTTCAATCTGACTTCTTGGTCATCGAGTCGTCAGGTAATTTTCTCACGTTTCTAAGTCTTGGTGACAATTTTTGTCGACGCTTTTGTTTAAGCGCCACGCATTTTTCCCGCTAAATCTTTGTGAGATATATTTTTTCACGTATCCTATTCGATACTAGGTTCTTTCAGAAACTTGGTGACTTTGGATCTGCGATTCAGTTCCTTGTTCTGTCCAAATGCAACGATGAAGCATTTCAGCTCGCCCAGGTATGCCAATATATAAAGCATAAAACTGATATGGAAAAGTGAGGGACTGATCGAGTCTAATGTTCACGTGTTTCTTTCTCATCTGATTTTTAGACGCATAATCAAATGGAACAGTATGCTGAAATAATTGGTAAGTTTAGTGGCAGAAGATATTTTATCATCCAACTGCACGAATTAGAGTACAAATAACGCGCATACAGTTGGTCATATTATACTGTAAAAAGACCTGTTTTACTGGTCGGCTGCGCGCGCTACACTTCTCTATCAGCATTGCTTTTCCAGCCGTTCGAGAAATGAGCAGAAAATAATGCAGTTGAATAATAAATAAATAATTAGACGTTTTGGTGTGTAGTGTTGCTTGGTATATTTACTCGTTCTTTTATTTTGACTCATCCTACGGGGTCGTCAAAATACGGCACAACTGGTAAAAATACTCAGCGATACTACACACCAAAACGTGTACTAAGACATATGCCTCAGAAAGGGCATCCATCTGTTCCATGTACAGCTATCTTGCTTACCTTATTTTTTAAAGTGTACTTTACACGAATACCAATTCTTCTAACCTTCTTTTTCTCAATTTACACCTAAATTTCACAATTTGAATCAGGCGTTGGTGATATGTTCGTCAACTAAGTCGAACCCAATCGATCTGTGGAAATTATACCTTGTCCCCTCCTTGTTTGGAACTGACGTTGTTGAACCAATCTCCTTACTGTGCACAATTTTTGTCCTTGTTATCGCCTGTAAGTCTTACTTCTTAATGCGGCACTTTCACATCTGAAAATCCTCCTGTCATCGTACTGCAATAAATGTCAATTTTTGTTTCTTTTTTGTGTGACAGGCGATGATGCAGTTGCGGATGACTATGCCAGCATCGCCATGTACTTTGAGAATCAAAAACAATATTTCCTGGCCGGAAAGTTTTTCCTGAAGTCAGCACAATATGCTAAGGTAGGAAAATTGTTGAGGGTTTTGTTGCGTTAGCCTCTGTTTACCTCCTTTAGCATGAAAGAGGAGAAATCTACTGTCCATTTCCTTTACTTATGACCTGTCATTCTCTCCTCTAAGGCTTTGAAGCACTTCTTGAAATGTCCCGTTGGAGAAGATGGCGAATCCATTGAGCTGGCAATTGAAACTGTAAGAACTGTTTCTCTTCTCAAGTTTTCTGTTCTTCGTTGTATTTTAAGACTGTGTTGTTTTGTCTTGGACCAAACTACAGCAACGTCAAGTGCAGTCGCCTACAGAAGCCATAACAGTTTGATGTTTTATCAAAATACCATTTACTTATCAGAGTATTTTGATTAGTACCAGTTGTTTTGGTTTGTTCATGTTTTTTAACTGGCCATATCTGTTGGTTGTTTAGGTTGGTCGGGCAGGTGATGAGGTGTTGACACATCAGTTGATTGACTTCCTTATGGGAGAGGCTGACGGTATACCAAAGGTAAACTATCGTCGAACCTGCATTAAGAGGTGACCTATGGAGTGACCACCTAATACAGGTTGACCAGCAAATTACTTGCGTGATTTTCGTGCGAAATATTTGTCCTAACAGTCCAAAGGAGAAAGACAATCTACAATGTGTCGAGGACACTTGAACTAAGAGTACTGACTTTGATTGCGGGAGATAATCATGGAATAAATTTTATTCGAGATAGTAATCTTGGTTTTATTTTAGTGGTTTCGCTTTTAGTGAGCGTTCAATTCAAGTGGAAGGCAATTTAAGCAGGCCGTTGGGACTTGGTTTAGGGTGACCACGACCGCTTAATACAGGTTCGACTATAATACTGACTGTGCCTCAAACAATAACTTCGTATATAAAACTTGAGGTGTCACATATTCCTACACAAAAATTCCAAGACGGACGTGGTGGTGTTTGGTGTTGAACAATACGGTGACACTTATTCAACTCTTTTCATTTGTCATTCCGTTTTCGTGGCGGTCTCTTTTTGAATAGTTAAACAGCAGTTGCAAGTTTTTTTAATCCCTGACAGGGGTCTCAATGAGATTTGGTGTAAATGGGTGATTCAGAATAGCAAGCGGGTTGTTTTGAGGTCCTCGACTTCCTAGGGAGGTCTGAAGTCCTTGTGAATTTTGAAGTTTTAAACTCTTACAGTTGCATTGTCCTGTACTTCGTGGTCTATTCAAATTTATGTTCCTTTGTTGATCCTAAAGGTCAACCAGTTTGAGGGGAATTAGTTGTAGCTTAAGAGTACAATGACTTTTGTGTAAATGCTACAACTGGGTAAGTCTACCCAAAACCCAGCTGCTCTTGAAATCACTGCATCCAACGTGCAAGTCATTGACGAACAAGCCATAGTAGCAGAATGTGCTGTCGGGAACACATAGAAAAAAAAGCAATAGATTAGAGCAGTTTTCAATCGTGTGTCGAAAGTAATCCATGATTGCTTTAGTTTTTCTTGCCTTTGCTCAGTTATTGATTCAGAAAACTCGCGCCAGGCAATTAATCGTGATTTAATTTGTCACACGCGTTTTCCCGGGTTTTTCATGCAGTTTGTTTACTTTTACTCTGAGTTGTCATTCGCTAACGATGATGTCCATCTTCGCTCCTATTGGTTGTTGTGATTGCTTTGATTTTGATTTTACGAAACTGAACTGAAAACTGCTCCAGTTGACTACATTCTGTTAGGAAGAGAATATATTCTCATTTTCGTAATAAATACATAAAGACAAGCATTATTCCTTTTGAATTTTTCCCTACTCTAGGAAGCAAAGTACTTATTCCGGCTTTACATGGCGTTAAAGCAATATCGTGAGGCAGCGCGCACGGCCATCATCATTGCGAGGGAAGATCAGAATGCTGGTAACTACAGGAATGCTCATGACGTCTTGTTCAGCATGTACAGAGGTTTGTTCTGTCAATTATTTTTCTTTGACAGTATCGAGAATTCATATAATTTGCGAGAGGATCACTTAATTTTGGCTTCAATGATCTAAATTCTGTATACATGTTTTGTACATCATGTATTACCGAGAAAAATCGTTCCACTTCATCTTGTTTAAGAAGCTTTTTGATACCGAGAGACCTTGAGCAAAAATTGATGGCGACGGCAACGAGAACTGGCTGAACAAAAGATTTAATGAGCAGAACAATAGCTCAGCACGTGCGTCTTAAAACTGTGTTAATTTCTTTGCCGTCCTCTGCAAAACAACAACGTAAAATTACCAAATTTTTCGTGGTCTTAAGACGGACACCCCGATTGCAAATTGTTTAATTTTCCATTTGGGACTCAACGTTAGTCCCTCTCGTTTTGCTGCAGTTGAGGTGTGTCGCTAATCTATTTCTTCCTTGGTGCTGCCTTTCTGACTACTTAACTTCCCTGCTACCTACTTTGGAATATCCAATTACGTCTAAATTTTAGATGAATGAAATATAGACATCGTCTTGTTGTCGGCTTAAATACCATATACAAAAGAAACAACCTCTCGTTCCTTTTGTTGTTAATCTGATAATACACTCCAGACGTATGCAGTTTACTGTTTTGCTTGAACGATCTTCGAATTTACTCTTACAATTTCCCGGCAGAACTTACTGATCACAAGATAAAAATTCCCGCGGAGATGATGCAGAATCTGATGATCCTTCATAGTTACATTTTGGTCAAGGTATGTAGGACTTGCTGATAGCAGTAACTGTTTTCCTGTGGCCTGTTAGTCATCCCCTTCCCTCAGGTCTTACTTCAGCAACACTTGCCTAATATCAACAAAAGAATTGCACGTAGGAAAAGCTCGACAACACACGCGTCTATACTTTTGTTTGTTATGGGAAGACGCCATTCATTTAATTTTTTCTTCCAGACTTGTGCGTTCGGTTTTGTTTTTTCACTTTACGTTCCGTTTTTGGGGCTACTGCGTAGGCACTTAGTCATTATTGGTATCATGCCAATTTTCTTTAATTTAGTAAGTAGCAATAGGATATTCAATGGAGCCAATCAGCACACGAAGCTATCATAGTTCGGACTCGCGACGCGGCGATGATTAACCGATAATTCTCGATAACAAACGAAATGATCCGCTTCCTCGTGGTCTTCAAACACAAGCAAAGCTATCTCAAAGCTATGTATTTTTTTCCGTTTTGCTTACTTTCTCAACTTAGCTTTTAGTTTACTTTCACTTCTCAGTCTACGCTGAGATGTGATACCTGGTTTTCCATAATTGTGTTTATTCTCTTTCAGCTACATGTGAAACGAGGTGATCACATGAAGGGTGCCCGTATGTTGATTAGGGTGGCTAATAACATCAGCAAGTTCCCTGCACGTAAGTGTTGAACATTCGTGTTCTACTTGAACTGTTTATTTTTTTAGTAGTGCGCAAAGTTGGATTGGGTGCCTCTTAAAACTCTGATTCTTGCAGCATAGTACATTTCCCAATATTTTTACACACCTTTTTAGGGGAGCAGAGTGTATTCACTCGACTTACCTTCAAAAATTTTTGTGTGCTAAAACAGTCATGTGTAACTTGCTTCCTTTTCGTGAAAATACATTTTCTGTAAAAATAGAGAAGTGTAAAGCGAAGAAATAATGCTTGCTGGGATGTTTCGATGTATAGAAGACGCCTGAAAAGTATTCCTGATTTGAACAGGATTTGAATTTATGACCTTCGCAATGGTGGTGCGATTGCTTAACGAAACTAAGCAGCTACTGAAGGCACTGACATTGTGAGCATGCAGATCTGTTGTAGGCTAATATGTTCCTGTTACGAGTTGGAAATAAGATGTGGTGGTGAAAGAATACACATGAACTGCGTAAATGAAATGAAGTGAAATTTAAAATGACGAGAGTTTATATCGTGTCAAAGTCTTCTCGAATTCCATAAATCATTGCCTAACATCACTACGACGTTCATTTCATCATTTCAGTTTATTTTCCGCAATCCATACGAGTCCAAGGATAAACATATTGTCACTACAAATACATCACTTTAGTGTGGCGCCTGTGTCTTAACCCTTTAACTCCCAAAAGTTATTTTGAAACATGTAACCTTATCCAGCAACGGGCAGTGAGAATACTCAAACTTATCATGAAGAAGTTTTTTTCTTGATCTAACATCAAATTTTCGCGTTAGATGTACAAGAAAATGTATAACAGTTTGAGGAGAGAATTAACTATTTGATCTGGGAATTAAAGGGATAAATAAAATCGCCCCTAAGGGTAATGATGGTTCTACCTTCATTCTTTGGTCCTTTGGTTCATTTTTTGACTAATTTTTCTCGATTTATTATGATTTATGTTTTTTTTCATTACTTTCTCTTCCCCAGACGTTGTTCCCATACTGACGTCCACCGTTATCGAGTGCCATAGGTCGGGACTGAAAAATTCTTCCTTCAGCTATGCGGCCATGTTGATGAGACCTGAATATCGTCAAAAGATTGACCTCAAGTACAAAAAAAAGATTGAACAAATTGTCAGGTAAAACTTTTCAGAGCCGGCTGTTTAAACATAGTTTGACCAATGACTAGCAAAACAGCCATCTAAACTACTTAAAATTTAGCCAAACTTTTCGTCTGAAAACCTTGGTATTTGTGAACAGTGTCCTGAAGGCTTCCAAAAAACATTTTCCACAAAAACATCGGGATCCATTTGTTGTTTAAAACCGCGGAAAAGGCACAGCTTCGTTCGTTTAATCGGCACCAAGGTTTTTATTAAGAACCATTCAGAAATCTGCTCACGAAGTCTTTCCTTTGATCATCAATTTGTCCAGCAAATTTGTCCAACATATTGTTTCCCGTTCTTCAGTTTTATTTCAATGCCCTACGATTAACTCTGCTTTCAGGAAACCAGACAAGACGGAAGAGGACGAACCTCAAGATCCTTGTCCTTACTGCGGCAACGAAGTACCTCAGACTAAACTGGACTGTCCAGAATGTAAAAACACCATACCTTACTGTATTATCACGGTGAGTAACAACTGAATAGCGGAAGCCCGTGGGCCAAACAACCGCCAGAGACTGGGATCTAATATTTCGTGGTTTGCCTCGTTCACTTGCAAAAATGTCTCGCTTGTGTACTAACATGTTTCTTGAGCCATATTGTGGTACTATGTCAATTCTAGAAATTTAGTGACAGGGAATTAATTAGCAATGATGCAAAGCCTATTGCAGGTAAATTCGCGGAACTTTTGATTGACTCTCACAAAAATTCTGGGAATATGTCGTGACTTTCCGTCAGTCTTTCTATCTCGCTTAATAGCTTCCTCTCGTTTCTTACCTGTGACCGCGTTTTTTACTGTTTTATTTCACAGGGTCGTCATATGGTTAAAGACAACTGGACAATGTGTCCTAACTGTTCGTTCCCTGCTCTTCACTCGGAACTTATGAGGTTGGTGTTTGTATCATATAAAGATATAACCTGGCTTTAGACCGGCGCTCTAATTGTTTTTTCTTCGTTATTCGTCATCCAAGGAGGTTAACCATTGAAGAGCGACGTAATATCGTCAGTTAATGCCATGTTTCAAATATGAGTAGAATTTTCAAACAATTCGGAAGGCCTCAACCCAAGTCAGAAAATTATGATTGTTAATTTCTTGAATGAACGCACACTTTCGGGAGTTAAGTTTTCATTGGCTTAATAATTGTTGATTTTGAGGTTCTAAATGTTTGTATTTATCGAGTAGCGTGGAAAGGCTCTACTTTGTTTTTTCTTTCTCTTTGGGGCTCGCATACTTGAATAGGAACGTGGCGGTAGTCACTCGTGTGACTATGATGGCATGACCAAATTTTCTTAGATTTAGGATCCGCAGCGCGCGCAAACTCCACTATTTCTAAGCTTCCTATGGTGTGCGACTGTGCAAAGTGACAGTTTATTTCTTGGTAGGTTTTCATCGCAGTAAAGGTATTACTTTTTTTACATTTATTGCAGTCTACTGGAGGCCAGTGAAACAGTGTGCCCAATGTGCTCCCAAAGCATAGCAGCCACGGAAGTGAAACCAATCAAGGATCCATCACCGTATTTGAAGACTGCAGATCAAGACTGAGAATCGAGCCAGAACACGAGTTCTGCGAAATGCTACCTTGGAGTTGTATTTAACTGTAAATAATCATCGCTTCTTGGATCTCTGCGTTTTTATTTAATTTTTTTTTTTGATCGCATGAGATGGTTAGAATTTAAGTAATAAATAGCATGCGAATGGTACTTTGTCGTCAATAAAAACACGTTAGATGTACTCAACAAATTTGTTGTGAGATAATTTTTTCCTCTTCCACAATGTTGAGTCCAGAAGCTAAACCACTCCAAACTTGCGGACTCGAAATTTTGTTAGGAGAGAGAATGGTTTACATTTTTCCTTTAGAGGCTCATTGCATAATCTAAACGCGCCATATTGTCTTCCAGGAAAATACGAAGTGGCCAGAAATACATTTGTAGGTAGCAGGAAGGACAAGACCACAATCTTACATCTGCATAATTTTCTGTCACGCTATTTTTCCGAACCGTTATTAAGTTTAAATACGCAATTCTTGTTACAGTTGACAAAGTTAAGAGCATTAGTAAGATATTTATATAAACTCAGCTGCTTTTGTGATAGTTAGACATTTCATGAGGGGTTAACCGAAACGGTTGCATAGACAGATATTAATATTTCTCTGGCTGCTGCTCACTATTTCAGTTCTTTAATATTGTACATATAAAATAATTATTTTGCATTGAAGTTAATGTACATGTGTAATCTTACAAGAGGACTCAAAATTATGTCGGAAAATCTAACCAGTCAGTTTGGTAAGTTGGACGTCCTCTTGCACTCAAAAATATCAAGTTAATTGAATCTTCACCCATCCAGTTCCACATGCATTTTTCATCACAGCACATCAAACTTACAATTCAATCTTTTAACACCAGTAGAGTTGAGTACAAAGTGACAACAACCACACAGACTGCCAAAATAAGAAGGAAAAAACGAAAAGAAAAAAATTGAAGGAAATGTCGTGTCAGCCACTGAAATCATAAATCAACTGGATGTGCTAATTTGGGATATCCAATTGTTTAACAGACTTGTGTTTGACTGTGGAACTGTCAAGGTTCAGATCTGTGGTACTTTCCACATAACTACCTTGTGTAAATTAATCAGTATTTTCTAGGCAAAACAGAAAATACCTGTGTCCAGACTTCGAAGAAAAAAACATTACACAACTGTTTTGCCTAGCCTACCCTGAGAAGGCAACAATACCTAGCTGATAAAATCTAAACATATATAATTGTTTTAAGTCTCCTGTTTTGAGAAATGTTGATGAAAAACATTCTCCTTTATTTTCATCGAGTCAAGGCTACTCCTCACGTGAAGGCTGAATTATGCAACTAATCAAGCTGACTTGAGCCAAGTTGCATATTTCACTAGTACTATTCTGTACTAACAAAACTAGCTCCAATGCAGGAAGAGGATGGCATTACCAACACTTGATGAAAATAACAGGGCACCTTGTTTACTCTAAATTAAAACAAAATCTCCTTACCTTTACAAATCACTCTGCCCATTGACTTTGGGAACACAAAACCACATTTAAATAAGCCACAGCATATTAAAGCATGGTGTATTACTTTTTATCAGTTGGAGAGCATTTACTGCATCAAAGACAATTGCATGTAGAATTTTATGGACAGAAATAAAGGAAACTGTTAGAGATTGCATTAAATTCTAATCAAAATAACTTTTGTTCCTAATTCTGCTGTTGATGCCATTACCAAGCTAATCTGGATAGAACAAATTCATTTAAGTTTAAAGATATACCAGCACATCCAGTTTAACTTTGCAATGGTGTTGGTCACAATCATGAAACAGGAAATTGTGGTTGGTCCATCTCTAGCTATGATTTAGGAAAGAGAATCCTCTGATAATACAAATGCAGCTTGTGTTCTTTATTTCACATCCTCTGCCTTTCCAGTTTCTTTTTTCTTCTTCTTTTTTTTTTTCAAGGACACTGCATCAAGTTCCATAAATTACAAAAACTGAAATTTTAAATGTACTGGGCCAGCCACCTAAAGCCTAAAATAAAAGAAAAAAAATACAATTGATTTATAATTTTCTCTCAGAATTAAGAGTCTACACAAGCAGGTCTTTGAGAAAGTGAATGGAGACCACCTCTAAATTGTTTAAGTGCAAGAACACTTGGCTTAGCTTGGATTAGTTACACATTCATCACTGTCCCCATTTTACTGCCAAGAGAGACCAAAATAGCATTTCTCTTTACAATTTTGATTAGTTTTCAAGCAGACAGGTCATGAGCATACAGAATAATATCCAATAAATAATGCTTGATTTACCACCAAATTCTCAAAGGTCAAAATATAAGAAATACATGGTAAACAGAATGGATAATCTGCATCAAGCTCTTACGAGTGAAAGGGTTTTAACTGTATCAGAGCAAGCCAATGAATCTCTACATATTGCATATGTAACCCATACACAATCCATTACTGCAAAACTTACCTTCACCATATCCTTGTCTTTTTAACACACTACACATATACAATTCCATTGGCCGGGCTTGCAGATCTTTAGCGGCAATATTTCCCTGTGGGAAAACCATTGTTATTTCATACATGTAGGAGCACATTCAATATTATGGTAAAAAGCTTACAAGGCATAATTAAGGGATGCCACATAAAGGTTACAAGTAGTTGTAACTGCACTTGTGGCCATTAAGAGTGAATGAAAAATTCCATGGTGCTGTAACCCTTAGTAGTTCTGCACTGCCATAGATTTGACACTTCAATCAATTTAGTAATCTTATACACCTTTACAATTTAAAACCCAGGAACACTGCATGCACAAAGAAACATTAATTTAGGAAACATATCAAAATAGTACAAGCAAGTAACATCAATGATGAACAAGAACATTTGATTCACCTTTTCTTAATGTTGAGACATCAGAATAATTATACTTAAGCTCTGTGAAGAGTATTGTTCTGTTTCATAACATAACATAAAATGACATTCAGAACAACTACACAGATAGTTCAGTGAGACTTTAGTACCTTTCCTGTGGTGAGACCATAAAGGCCAAAGTACTGTCTAATGACATCTTCACTTGCAGCACCAGGGATATCAATTTTGTTACCAAGAAGAAGAACAGGGCAACTTGCTAACTGTTCATCAGCCAACAAACTCTGCCGAGTAAAAAATAAAACTTCACATAAGCTACACTATTCCTAAGCACTTCCTCGACTTGATTATACATGCACCTCTGAACATCCAAACACTGTACATGTTTTGCTTGCATGAACCTTTTCTTTTTATTTAACCAAAGAGCACACAAGTGTACACTGTAGTGTCCATGGTTTACCATTTTGCTTATAAATACATTTATATCTTTTTTGAGTGAACTGCAGATGTAAATATACAATATATTTAAATTCAATGGCCTTTGTATAGACCATCATATGGTTAGAGCAGTGTTTGAACATGTAGCTCCAAAGACCCCAAAATCATATCAATAATTGACTCGAGTGAAGGAAATTATAAGATACATGTTTAACATGTTTGATTTGAAGTTACTACTTCCAAGACAGCACAAACCTCTAATTCACTTTTGGACTCGGGAAGCCTCTCTCCATCAGCACAATCAATAATGAAGACTATTCCATTAACTGCTGGAAAGTAATCTTTCCAAATGCGACGAGCTGTGGAATAAATCAGAAAATCATCCTATATGTACATGACTTTGTGTTCTTTTTTATCAATCTGGACTGATATAGACAAAACGAATTAGAGCTTGAAGTGTTTTGTGACCTCAAAATTAAAAATGTAACCTAACTAAAAGCAAAATATTTTGCTCCTGCTGAGACTATTTTGGAAACTCTTAATTCACATTGATTTCACTACAGACATCCCCTGTGAATTCCCAATTGAAAAATATAATTTCCCTGTGGCATAAAGATGTTTGTATTGAGAAAACTTATCCTTAGGCTTCTTTACATTATATTCCTTTCATGTTTACTGACATCACACAGAGGTAAAACCGTTATGAGAGGGATATCTTAGAAATGAAACTACTCTTCTGAGAATAAAGGGGGTAAGTTTCAAAAGAAACTGTGGTTCTGCAATGGTGGAAGAGTATAACAGGTAATTTAGTGCTAACAACTGAGTTGAAAACGTAAAAAGACCACTGTTAAGAGTTTAAAGGCTGATGTTTCGAGTGCTAGCCCTTTGTCACAGCGATCGACAAAGGGCTAATGCTTGAAATGTCTGCCTTTAAACTCTTTAAAGTACTCTTCTGGGAGTCTACATGTACCTGTACAAAAGTTTACAAGTAAGGGAATCAGCACATCCACTCACTCTCCTTCCTATACCCAAACTTAAGTACACTGTAACAATGGATCTACAAGGGAAGCATATCATACCTTGCTTATGACCACCTAGATCAAATGTTGTGAACTTCATGCCACCCATTGACAATTCCTCGGATGCTAGGATTTAACATAGAATGACTTCAATTAACATTTTTTGAAACAAATTGAACAAGACCATGAGGTTTACATTTCCTTTAAGATAACAAGGAGGGTCACATATACAGTAAGAATAATAATATTCACGAGGTTATTGTCCAAAACATCAGAACTACATTTGTATTTTGAGCAAAGATTTCCCTTATCACCCATGATGCATGCTATACGGATTTTCATTGCATGGATTAGACTGAAGGAAAGGAACTTCAACTTGTATGAAAAATTAATTCCCCACAAAATCCTTTGTTGACCCATTTATAGTGTCTCAAACTGAGTTTCAAGGGTCTTGATGCTTGATTTGAATGTCTCAAAACTTGACTCAAGCCCTGTTCCTCAAAGTTATCAAGAACTGAGGATCGAGGGAATGTCAACTTATTATTGAGCCATACTGTATAAGTAAAATATTGGAAACAAACTGTTTGAAAACTGACTCTAACAATCCATTTAAGACCTAAAACCTATAGAGTACAACAATGACTACGTGTATGTTTCAACTCCTGACTCCTCTTTTCAAGGTGAGTTGTTACTAAAATGTACCCTCAGGGTGTGAAATTGTGCCTAATACAGGTGCCAATGCTACTAAATTTTTCACTTTGGTGACCAAATCCTGAAAATTGGTTGCCATATTGGTGACTAGAATGTTTCATCATAACCTTACCATGAGATATAGTGGATTAAAAAGATTTGCAGAGATAAATCTGCTGCAAACTTCCTTGTTAAGTTTGTTTCCAAAATGCAGCATGTGCATCTCAATCGATAACTAGATACCATCTTGGATTTAGGTGAGCTTGAACATTGTATATCATCCATCCTAGTGTCCACTTTAAAGCACACTAAAGATCTTTTCCCTACCTTAATTTTGGAGGGTCTATCTAGAATGCTGACAGCGTAACAAAGGGTTTTGTTTGTCTCTGAAAATGGCGACCAACTTTTTTTGAATTGGCTACCACTTTGAAGAATTTAGGAGCTGAGTGGCTATCAGAAAAAAAAAAATTTCACGCCCTGACCCTTCTGTCAGTTTGAATTGTTCATTAAGCATTGTACAGTTGTAGTGAAGGGCAGAACTTACAACTGACAAATTTTCAAACCATCAGATCCAACAGCTATTTAAATGAATAAATATATAAAAGAACATCTTCAAGTATATGTACATAAGAAAACAACATACTTGGATGCAGGGTTGGTACATGCTGCGCCATACGATCATCCTTCAGCATGTGCAACAGGGTTGTTTTACCAGCATTATCTAGTCCTAGAAAAACTAATTTACCAGTCTTTTTCATTAGCCCTGAGGGAAAAAAAGCAATACACGCACTATTATAAAACTGTTCAACATTAATTGAATAATTAGGTCTTCAATTTTAGTAACCCTTCACTCATTAATTCACAACATTTGCACCAGTCTCTTTCCCAGATATTTCGAGAAACAGACACAAAATACTTCATCTAAATAAATGTTATAAATGTCACAACACAAAAATGCATGAACTATGCTGACTGGTTCAAGCAAGTCTGGACTTTAAAATTTAGGAGGTCCAAAGTTCAAGTTCCACACACCAGATTTTGCTACATCTTTCTCTCCATAGCCTGCTGTGACCTCTATACTTCCTATTATTCATGCCCCTTTCCAGATGGGATTTTTAACAATTTAAGCTCTATTGGCCATATTTGTTTTGTTGTTGCTGTTTTTCTTCTAACAGTGAACCCTATCAGAAAATTAATTCCACTGTAAACACTCTGTATTCATCCTGCATGTGGACTGAATCTCAAACCTCCTGGGCATACAGTGTATAGAAACTGTTTGCTATACGAGAGGCTTGAAGTATTCAGTACAGCACAATCACAGTGGTAGACTGACAAACGTCATTGTCTCATCATGTAACTCAATTTCAAGATTTAAAGAAATGTCCAATACTTGTATAGCTTTCAAAATAGATGAACAACAACAAGATTGAGCTCAACACAGACTCGCCAATGAAGCAAAAATCTTGAATATCTTTGGCTAGAAAATTAGCACATACATTAGGCAATTGCCCATTAGAAAATAGTTTCATCTCCTGGATGAAAAATTGGCAATTTTCCCTAGAGCGAAACTGAAACAGGTGGTCAAAACTAACAGGATAGATACTACAATGAATCATGTACAGTGTATGCACAACATACTGTTTGTATCAGCCCAAATTTAAGACAAAAGGCAAAAGTAAGAGAAAATAAAACTCATCTTTAACTAATACACTAGATTAATTTCTACTAAAACCCTTGAATCTGAGTGTACTGAATATATCTGCACAAACAGCTAAGGCTTTTCGTTTACTTATTTTTTGTAATCGCAGAATAATTCTCCACTGTAAGTAATTCCATCCGCAGAAGCTAGAAATTTGTCTAGGACAAAAACTTACCTAAATAGTTTAACATTCCTGTAAACCATTCCCACATAAACATTTTTGCAACAAACCTGAAAATGTTGACAGAGACAATCGTTTTAACATGAAATTAAATCCTGAGAACAGTTCTTTACACAATCTTCCTTCGAAGATACAAATTAACTTCACGAACAACTCACAGATTGAATCTCATCATGCTAAATTCACTTTCAGACAAAATAGTCATTATGATACAGCTTTAATTTCTCTCTTCGATAGAAACGGAGGAATGATTGTTTCAAAACCACAGCGTATTTCTTCTGTCAGCTAAATAGTCTCAGACATTTATAGCATTGCTACTGTAGTTGTGGTGACGTGCCAAAAATTACGTAAAGCGCCACTATCTATTCCAAAATAGAACACCGTTCACTTGTTCACTGTAAATTCCATGCCGTGGATACTACTACGAAGTAGAAATTAGCGGGATAATTTCATATAAGACTTAACAAAGCTCTTTTAAACGCCTGCATACTTCTCGGTTCAAGGACACGTAGTGCCAAACCGAATTATCATTTGCCGGTTCAGAGTAACAAGTATACCTTCACGCCCAACAAATTTTCGAGTAAAGTGAACCAAGAAGGATTTTCCACAAGGAAATTATCACAAAAACCTTTTCAAACTTACCTAAAACTTTGAAAATCCTACTTAAAATCGTGATAATATTGGAATTTCGTATAAAACTCTTACACAAAATTTTACACGCGTACGACTTTCCGGCACGATGTCCCGTATATTGAACCTATTGCGCAACTGCGCCACGTAATGACCTCGATTTGGATCATGAGTGACTTCCGGTCAGGGGCGTCTAAGGCACGCGAAGATCATACCTGCCTACATAAGTTGTTTTTTTTTCCAGGTTGCTTAGACTTCTTCTAATATATATACATATATATGTATATGTATACGTATGTTTGTCATAGAAACATTGTTACAGGTATTGAAAGAGAAACTTGCTAACAATGGCTTTCCCCAAGAATTGTTATTTCTCAGAATAAAAGAAGGGGACAGCCAGATGCGTACGTAAACGTACGTATTTCCGGTTGAAGTTTGGGCTGAGCCAGAACAAGTTGAGGGGAACTAAGCTGATCTTAAGTGCAGTAACTAAGGGTAATTTTCTCTTTTTCTTCTGTTGCTGTTTTGTGGTTTATTTTTAACAAACGGTGTGAGCAAATTCATCATCCTGAATCCATCGTCCTGAAAAAACCACCTGCACATCGATAACAAACACTAATATGTCGCTTACACAGTAACCGACCTGTAACTACAGGCCCTTAGAGATTGTGCTTGCATAATTTTTTACATAATTTGGAAAAACGAGCATAATTTTTGCTTCTTATAAATGTAGCACCGCTGGAATAATTAGAACATCATCGGTTAAGTGTTTTTGAAGGGAACATTACGAGAGTCATGAGTTGTTTGGTCTCTTGGATTGATTATTTATATATATTCGTGATATTGAGGCTATTCTGCGTCATTTGTCCTCTAAGGGGATGGAACACCGGGAGTAAAGATTGCATAGTACTAGTTCCGCCTCTACAGGCAAAAAAAGAGACATCGTGCAACTCACAGATTAAGACGATAACCAGCCGCTATGAGGCCGCGTTCCTTGCGAAGACCGGACACGAAAGAGCAACGGAAATCGAGCCTAAGCAGCCACCCGTCTGGCCAGAAGGTTTTATCACGTTCGACATGATCTGAGTTATCAGGACATATTACTCGTGATGCTAACATCATACCTTTTGACACTTAAGTCTCCGGTTTTTAGATATCATGCTTTATATAGAAATGAATTTGAACTTGTTTTGTGTTCCTTTATTAAAAATAATCAAGCAGCACAATCTTAAACTAGGATAATTTCCAGCATAATTTGGCAAAAAATCGAGCAATACTTGTAGTTTAATATACTACTTTTACTAGCACAATCTGTAAGGGACTGCCTGTAACTAGCACACGCCTTCATTGCATTGCACCCCCTATTCAGTTCTACAGCCACGATCGTGAAAGTTACGTGTTACAAAAGTACAAATGTGCCGGATCGGCGGCGGTGCTTGGTTAAATCAGTTAAGATGTGCTCTACTCAATGGTTAAATACGAGCAGATATTTTGGGAGTTACGTGGTATTTTTCAGAGGCCGGAAGGCCCTCAAAAACGAAAAAAAGAAGTTTGTATCGGATCGTTCAGTCCGTTCATTTTTTTCCTCGGTATTTTTGCCTTGTTCTGTAGTGTAATAACGTGGCATGTTTTGCACTTTTTCATGAATGACAAAGCGGTGGAATAATAATTTTATTCATTGTACGGGAAAAATGAAATAAAGCCTAACAGTAAACTAAACTAAACATATGTAGACCCGAAACAAAATGAAGACTCTTGTCCTCTTTTTGTGCTTGGTAATTCATTGTCCTGACTTGATGGTGTACGGAATACTTCTTTCTGGCCAGCATAGGGTCAGCATAGGGCCAGCATAGGGCCAGTATAAGACCAGCACTGAGACTAACACGTGATGCGTCAGGTAAAGTTCCTTTCAGTCTTTTTGCCTATCAAACTTGCATTACCATAACAACAAGTTTATGTTTAATACGTTACGCTTCAATAAAATTTCTTTTGATAAAAAGAATACAAAGATGGCGAAACCCTTTCAATTGCAAATTGCTGCCAGAAAAGTGGGTTTGTAAGGATTACTCAACAAGACAATATTAATTGATGAAAATGGTTTCAGAGCCTAGCGAATTACTAATTAATCAATATTACCGATAGAGATTAAATTACATTTGCCAGAGTCTTTTTATGGACCTATGTTTTAACTTAAGCAATATATATGCCTGCTGCTAAAGTCCTTCAGGCGTTGTTACGGATTATTTAGCAGCACCTCTTTATTTACAGCAATTATGAAGGCAGTATTTCATATCAGTGCTAAACTAATAGCTAATTGCACAACTTAATTTTCCGGGCAAACTGTTTTCTCCAGCTGTTTGCCTTCTTAAAATTCGATTCTTTCAAAGCGAAGTCTACCCATGTATACCGAATGAACTTTCGAGTCACCACACCATCCAGACAAATGAATGGAACTTTTATGCAAAAAAGCATGGTTTTTCATCCGTAAAAGTGGAATTTTAATAAAGCCAAATAAACACTCTTTAGAATTCCTTCTACGGTTGACAAGTTAGGAATTTGAATAAATCTCTAAGTTTTGTTTAAAGCCCTGCAATTGTTTGTCTTGTCTTAATGAATTTTCGTAATAAATCGCATTTACTATGTTAGTGGCATGAGAAAATATGCTTTGGAGAGATAATATTTTGCACGAAACTGTCAAAAGCTATACTTGATGACTTCATTGACGAATTTTGTCAGACATTTCTGTGACGAAAAACGACTCAAACTGTGTGTTATGCTCTTTGTCGTTAATTGTTGATTGTATATCAATCCGCTTACGCCCATAGTATCAACAAAGTGCTCAAAAGATAATTTCTCCTATAATCTCACTACATTTAATGAGAAACGGTTAATGAGAAGGAAATGAAACTTGCAATAAGCTAAGAGACAATATTCTGACCAAAAGAGGAACTCTCATAACACGACATAAATGAAATATTGAATAAGAAGTTAGGAGATTTATTTCTTGACCATTTGTATGGGTATTGCGACAGAATAATTAGTAAGGAATGAAAACTTGAAGAGGTGTCCACAAATCAATTCAGGACATTAGCAGCTGGGTGAGTCATTGTAGGCATTACTCGATTACCTCGTCTCCGACTGCATTGACTAAGATGTCTTGGGTTGGTTTTCTTATGGTCCTGTGCATCACAGTCAGTTTCGTCTCAGATTCTATGGCCGCGGCGAATATGCAAAATTGGAAGTACAACGGCAAGCGTATGATGTTAAAAGACCGATTACAGAATCGTCGAGAAAAAGAGGTGAGGTGTTTATATTGAGTGAATTGATGAGATATAATTGAAACGGAGACCATTTAATTAGTTTTTTAACCTTGGTAGAAATTGAATTTGACCCGAAGGTCGAATGTCTAAGGGTTTTGCAAATTTTCGAGTTTAAAGCGCGTGAAATACTTTCAGTCCTGTTTCAGGCTTGACAACGTAAAGGCTGGTAATAAGTCACTCAGACGTCGGCATAACTTTGTGGTGTGAGTTCACGGTAAAGTGAAAGCAATACATGAAAACATTAAGTGAAAACTAAGAGATTAGAAGGGAACACACACTGAGACTTCTTCCTTGCAAGTTCAAACAATTTCTTAATTTTAAAACCTGGAAAAGATTGCATCTCTCTCAGTCTGCGATATGCAAATATCCGGTTTGTCTATTAAAATGAATATGCTAAAAAAAGTTTATCTATTGACATTTTTTATGTTAATAACTTTTCTTTCCTTAAACTTCCGCTTTGAAGCTGTTGACGGTCTTAAGTTTCTAGTTTGTACCTCCGCCTATCGTCTGATAAGTCTTTAGAGGCTGTCGTTAACACGTCCCTGATAAATGCATGCTACTAAGTATGACAACCAAAGAAAATGTCAATGTTTAGGTCTTCGCACCAGGCCACTAACCACTGTTTAGATAATTCTCAGTGGTATAATTAAGAGGATTTTAAAAGTTTTATTACCTATTTCACTCTGCATGGAGTTTGCGCTTTTCATTCGAATTCCCATACTTGCTGCAACGAAGATAATTTTAACGGCGATGAAAATAACCGCGATTTAAAGAACTTTTTTGACAACATGCCATTAATTTTCTTCTGAGTAAACAACTAATAGTTTGCATTCCAGTGCAGCAGAATTTCATAATAGATGACTAGGTTCTTTATTTATTTGCAATATTTAAATCATCGGAAGGGTATGAACTGCAATCCCTCTGAAGTGTATTCTCTCGGATTTCTTTATTTAGATTTCAATGTGCGTTGTTTTTGCGTCAGTCTATTCAGGATAAGATTGGCTTCGTGAGGTTACGCACTCCTCTAATTATCATCTTCCTGCTGTGTAAAACAAATACCGGTATTAGTTTTGTACGCGACAGCGTCCTCAGGACTGAAAAGTTGTCAAAATCTGATAAACGTAAACTATCAGGGAACCAAGTTTTAGCGTGACACTCATAGCTAAGCCTGAACCAACGTTTTTGTAATGACCCCGTTAAGATGACACAAATTGATTTCCAGGCTCTTTTTTACACCAATCGCTCTGACGAAGGGCTAAAGCTCGAAACGTCAGCCTTTAAACTCTTTACGGTGGCCAATTTACGTTTACAACTCAGATGTTAACACTAAATTATCTTTTTCAACCGGGTGTCTATTTAAAGCCTCTTATACCTACGTGCGCCTAATTACATGCAACAGAAGACTGACCCTTGCGGCTCTGTTCATTAAGAGCCATCAGAATTAACGCCAGATTTAATTTTTCCGCATAAACGCCAAGTGTGCTTGTATTCATACTCTCCCCACCCATCCCTAGTTGCTCAATGGAATCGAATCCTGATGAGGAGGCAGGGGAATAGTTTTGAAAATTTTGTCACCGGGGTCATGCGGAAAGGAGGATCAGTAGCGCGTGGCCTGGGCCCCGAATGCGAATTTAAAG